TGCAGGCATGATTTAGTCTTCACTCCAGTTTTGTCACGTTCAAAGGGAGATAGCGGATAACTTAGCTTAAATTACTTTTTTTTAATGCACATTTGTTTCTTCTATATTTTAATTGAATTACATGTTTTCTTAATGTGCGAATAAACCTTTCTAAAAGTTTTTTTCATTTGTTGTTTAACTACAAGCTATATTTCAGAACGTTTTTTTGTTTTGTTTTTTTTTTTAAAAAAGAAGCAAATTATGCTATAAAAAAGGTGGTGGGGACAAAATCAGCCATTGTCACAAAGTGGTAGGGACATGTCCCCAGCGTGTAAATGACACCTATGACTGAAATGCTTTTAAGAGTAAATAGAATGGTCAGCACATGGGTCGGCATAATATTATTTTGAAAAGCTTCACCGGAAGCCAGTTCTTTTATTTTCTTATTATTCTGTAACTTTACACAAGTCAGTCCCCACCTACAGTCACCACAATGAGTAAGATGAAAACATTTAACACATACCTGTATCGGTGGTGGGGGAAGTATTCAAATCATTTACTTAACTCAGCCCTGACATGTAAAGTCCTGCATTCAAAGTCTTACTTGAGTCAAATTATAGGCCTAGTACACACACATCTCAGAATCAAATCTTGAACACTGAGGAAACACTTTTAGCAACGTTTCACAATGACTTCTGCCATGCTGACTGTGAAAAGTTCTGAAAAAGTGAACTCATATAGAGAAATGTTATTTAACACTTAGCACTTGTAAGACAATGCTTGGCTCAACCCCTGACATGAAGAGCTAATGCTAACTGAAATATGAAACACACTGTAGCTGTCAGAACCCCCAACATCCAAAAAATCACAAAATATACCTCAGAAAAATCATGATTATGTTGACACAGTTCAGTTAAATCAGCAGTACTACTATATAAAAACACTACAAAAAGTGCACTTAAAGTATTATTTAAAGTGTTTTATATATTGTCGGGTTGGTTCTGTAACAGTGCATCAGCTTTCATAAACTCATCATATGTTTTGTTCTGCATCACATGACAATGCAGCACCTATCTAACCTGTTCAGAAACATTGTCAATCAGTCAGTCAAGTGTTATTTGTTGTTTCCCCAGAGGTAAACTAGAGATTTCATAAAAGTTTATACAATTTAACAAATGATATATAATATAGACTACTGGACATTAAAGTTTTTTTTTGTTTGAAATGTCATTTCTGTCTGTGTACATGCAGACAGAAACTTAAAAAGCATAAAATAGTACTGTAGTTAAAGTTCAGTGCTCTTCTTCTCAAGCAGCCTAATAACATAACAATGAGGAAAACCTGTTGTAACAGTTAAACCTGTCCGTTTCTTATGAAGATTGTAAGAATGAAGAATGAAGATGATTACCAAAATAGTCATCCTGATAACTACACATGAATGTCTCCCAAAGGAACAGCTCTAATAAGGCTGCACACCAAAACCACACCCAGACCTTAGACATGCAAAAGTGTACAAAGACACAATGTACAAATCATCTGCACAGTTACATACATACATATACTGTAAGAGTTATTATGCAAGACTGTTTTGTAAGCTCTCTACAGTTAGCCTTTTATGCCTAAACAGTTTTATATGTCTAAGATCTGATAGTGTTAAACAACGCACACCTGTTTTCTATGAATATCAACTTTATTTATTTAGTTTCTCTACTTTACCTCTGGGGAAACAACAAACATTACTTGACTGACTGAGTGTTTCAAAACCGGTTAGGTGCTATGGTGTGAAGCTGATTAAAAGACAAGTATGTAGTCATGCAGTATTTGTGTTGCATTTGTTACATTGTGCCCATCTTACACTGGATAAAAACCCACTATCATCCGCTAACATCTGGTCTTTGTATTCCGTGTGAAAGGGTTTAAGTCGGCCTTCACTTCCTGTTTAAATGACTCAGCAGTAGTCATGGGTATCAGAATCAGAATCCCTTTATATTGATCCCGGAGGGGAAATTCTTTGTCACAGATACTCGAAAGGCATAAAAGGAATAGAAATAATAGTAAAAGTTGCTAAGTGGAGAATATAATAAAGTATATAAAGTATAAAAAACTTAGAATATAATAGTGAAAAAAGTGAAAATAAACGTGTATCATAACAGTATTATACAACATTAAGAGAGGTGTAATGATAAATAACAGGAATGAATAAATAGTGTAATAATAATGAGCATTGATGAGTACTGATTAAAAATCCTGAACTAACTCCAGTAATGAAACAGAGAATATTGCACATAAGATTTACAACATAGAATATTGCACCATTTGTCAGTTATTGCCCTACAATGTGCAGTTGCTGATTAAGTATCCTGGTGTCTGACACTTTGATGGAGAAGTTAAAGAGTTTGATGGCCACATGCAGAAATGACTTCCTGTGGCACTCTGTGGTGCATTTTAAAGGGATGAGTCTGCACTGAAAGTGCTCCTGTGTTTGACCCAACGAAATTCTGCACAACTGAAGAAATCTCTTGGATGAGGGACAAAACGTCTTCTAGGTTTTCTTCTACAAAGTCCAGTTAGCATTATTCCTTCATGTCAGGGGTTGAGCCAAGCATTGTCTTACAGTTTTTTACAATTGCTAAGTCACATTTCTTTATACGGGTTTACTCTTCACACGATCAGCACAACAGTAGTCAATGTGGACTAAACTGTGGATCACTTTTCATCAGAGTGGTTTATCCCAGGACGGTGTCACCTTTCCTTCCATCTTACTATCCATTCCTCAACTCCACCGAGGTATTCTTTTCATCATGGTGGTGTAAAGTTTATCATCACCAGCCACATGATCAGATGTCCCTCTTGTAAGCAATGAATACTGAAAGTCTGGACATATAATAGAAAACAGCCAGGGATGAATGAGGCATGCAAAAAGGTGTATTTCCCAGGTGAATTGCATTGTATCTTACAGTAAACCATGATTCTATTACAACCACTCTGTGACTGGAAGAAAACAACGAAATGCCACATCGTCCCATACAATTCCGAAACTTTCTGGGTTCTGCCTTACCTGCCCCCTTTCCCCACCTGGCACAAATCCTTCATAGAGGTCATCAAGAAATAAAAACAGGTGATCAGTGTCCAAATCATTTATGATTATTTTTGTGTAGTTATGTTGAACGTAAGTGTAACAGTTTTGGTGGTTGAGTTTGAGTGAGAAAACGGTTTAGGAAATTTGAAAGATATGGTCACTGAATGCATTTTGTATAAAAGCAATGAAAAGTGATACACAGTTTAGTCCACATTGACTTCTGTTGAGCTGATCGTGTGAAGAGTGTTGAAAAAGTGAACCCATACAGAGAAATGTTACATAGCAATTGTAAAAAACTGTAAATGCTTGGCTCAGCCCTTGATATGAGAGACTCACGCTAACTGAAATATGAAACACAGTGTAGCTGTCAGAATTGTTGTCAAAAGGCCTTTAATAGCAAAGAAATTGAGGTGTGGGCCCCCAACTTAAAAAAATCACAAAATCATTTTTAAGCTGACATAGTTCAGTAAAATCAGTAACACTACAACATAAAAACACTCCAAAAAATGCACTTGAAGTTTCCAAAGTAAAAGTACTCATAATGCAGAATTAGCTGTCAGTAGTACTGTTGTAGTTGGTCGAGGTGGAGCAAATTTAAGCTATTTTAGATATTGTTGGGTTGTTTAATCTGTGACAGTGCATCCCCTTTCATAAACTCATCAGATGTTTTGTGTGTAAAATATGAATCTATAAAGTAATTTGTAACTACATTAGTACTTACATTACAACGCTCCTGCATCCCACAGAAGCTCAGTGCTCATTATTCACCAAATCCTACTCATATTTACTGAATTTTGATAATTTTTCTAGTTTTGTACTTGTTTCTTTTCAAAGTCCTTATCCCGTGGCTGTAAATGATAACAGTGATACACACTTGATAACATGCTGAGACAAGTCCATCAGTAGTATAGTAAATACAAAACAAACTCTCTTTACTATCTGCCTGTGTTGTATAAATAATAAATGCTGTGCACACTCTTATGTTTCCCCTCAGTGGACTGTCGACCTGCTGCTGAGAGGTGGGGTTCTTACTCTGCACTGATTAACCATTACAGACAACCTTCAGACTCATAAACGCATAAAAAAACAAACTTCGGCTATCACTCTTTCTCCACATCTTTCACAGAGAACATGGAAACACGGACATGACATTGGAATAACTGATGTTTGTTTTAAAATCTACTTATAAATCTGCTTATAAATGGTACATGATGTGAGATGGCAACCAGGGGGCAGTCAACATGTAAGTTTTGATTCCCATTGTCTTCTACTTAACATCCATGATTATGTCTTGAATTTAAAAGAAATCGCTGTGAAAATCACAAACAACTTCCTTCTCTGTAATATAGTTATCAGTGTAATATTTTAAATGTCTTCTTAACTGTTTATCTGTAAGTATTTTGTGTGTATATTAGAGTGATTTTCATTTCCATAGCTTAAAATTTGTTTGTGTAGTGTAAATGAATTTATTAGCCTTTTGTTTATTGCTTTAATATGATTGTCAAAACATTATTGTGTCTATGTGACACATGATTTAAGATGGAAGGATTTAAGGTAATATTCTAATTGATTCAGTTTATTGTATTTCTAAGACAAAACATAATTAACTCAGTGTACATTTTAGTAATTTTATGTCATATGGAGCCTGATGTTGTAAATTATTAGGGCTGCAACTAACAATCATTTTCATTATTAATTGTTCAATTGTTTGATTAATTGTTTACTCTATAAAATGTCAGAAGATATTGGTTATGAGTTGACATATCTAAATTGCTTGTTTTGTCAGGCTAACAGCCCTAAAGCTCAAAGAATTTACCATCATAAGAAAGAAAGAAAACAAGCAATAATTCACATTTGAGAAGCTTAAACCATTTTCCTTCTCAAATAAGAATTAATCAATCCATTTGAACGGAAATGTGATTTTAGTCAATGCAGTTTGAATATGAACCCTTCTCATAATGTTTCCCTCCTCTCAGGGGACGGCTTGTGTACATCACAGTTAAACATCATCCTTCTTGGTGGCAGAAACTCTGGAAAGAGCTCTGTGGGGAACTTAATCCTGGGCAAAGAGGAGTTTGTCACCAAAGAGAGGACCTCGTGCTCCAGGAGGCTGGGTGTGGTGGCCGGATGGTGGCTCACAGTGGTGGACACTCCCGGCTGGTGGTGCGACTTCAGCACTCAAGAGACATCTGAGCTTGTGAAGAGGGAGATTGTAAGCAGTGTCTCTCTGTGCTCACCAGGCCCACATGTATTTCTAATCATAATTAAGACGAGCTCGGCCTTCACAGAGAGGCGTCGCAGGGCTGTGGAGGAGCACGTGGCCCTGCTGGGTGACAGGGTGTGGAGTCACTGCATGGTTGTCTTCATCTCTGCTGACAGGTCTAAACACACTCAAGCAGAAGAGCTTGTACAGATGGGGGGACAGGCCCTCCGCTGGCTCAGTGAGAGATGCCATCAGAGGTGTCACAGTGTTATCTTGAGTGATGATAGTGAAGTTGCTGAGCTGCTGGAGAAGATACAGAAACTTGTCAGAGCAAATGGTAGCAGATGGTTTGAAATGCAGGAAAATTTATTACAGGCGACAGCAGAAGAGAAGAGAAGAGTGGAGGAGAGAGCTCGGCAGAGGTTTATGAGTATGAAGAAACACAGATTTCTCATGCGAGGTGAGTTAGGCTATTCACAATCATTGAAATACTTTGCTTATTTTGGCTATTAAAGCGAAAATTTCCGCAACCCTGCTTGGATACTGGACACTCATAGAAACAGCCTGCCATTCAAACACAATAATGAGCACTATACCTTATGAAATTTGACCTGCTCTAAGATGTGGTCAACCCTCATGTGTACGGCTAAATTTATTCCAGAAACAATTTTGCTGCTGCAGATACTTAATTGATTAATTAATTGAAAAATAGCGAAAATAAGAAGCTTCCTTTGGCTTGTGTTCATTTGTTTGAGAGAAAGAGAAAGAGACAAAGAAACAGCGGTGGTTGAGCGACCTACAGTAGCCATCGAATGAAGAAATGGGATTGCTGGTTTTCTGATTGTTTCACAGCTGTAAAGTTCTAAAAAACAAATAAACACACCCACACCCACAAACACAGCTGCTCAACCCTGTGCCTATTTGCCACAACACCTGGTTTGATGTGAGTTGAGCCTTAGAGGTGCTGATAGGTGGATCTTGTCACTAGAGCCAGGATAGTTTTTCTCCCCAGTTTCCAGTCTAGTTATGCTAAGCTAAGCCAAGGCGCTGCTGGCTGTAGCTTCAGGTTGAACAGACATAAACCAGAGTGGTACCGATCTTCTCCTCTAAATCTTGACAAGGCAACAATATTTCTCATAATGTTGAACTATTCCTGTAACCTACATGCCAGCTGTTTCTTGACCTGCAAATCATCAAATCACCCTTTGCTCTATATTTTCACTTTCATTCTTTCAGAGAGGCTGAAGCCCATTACTAATATCCGGATTGTGTTGGTTGGAGCAAAGGGTTCTGGGAAAACCTCTTCACTGAACACAATTCTGAGTAGAGAGAGCAGCCAGTCACTGAGGAGAACAGCCCTGTGCCTCGTTGGAAAAGGAGTGGTGTTCGGGCGACAGGTGACTGTGGTGGACACACCAGGCTGGTGGATGAACTACTTCAGTGACGAGAGTGCCATCTTTGACCGGATGGAGATGGTGTTCAGTTTGTCTCTCTGCCCTCCGGGGCCTCACGTCTTTCTTTTGGTGATCCGTGTGGACAGGGCTTTCACCGAAACCTACAGGAGAGCAGTGCAGGAACATCTCCAGCTGATCAGTGAGAACATCTGGAGTCGTGTCATCGTGCTGTTCAGTTTTGGCGACTGGCTGGGAGGCGCCACTACTGAGCAGTGGATCGAGAGTGAAGGAGAACCTCTGCAGTGGCTTGTTGATAGATGCGGCAACAGGTATCATGTTCTGAACAATAAAACTAAAGGGGATGGATTTCAAGTCAGAGAACTGATTGGGAAGATTGAGGAAATGTTGGCTGGCTGCAACGACGGCCAGCATTATGAAGTAGAGCGGAAAGTGATGGAACAGCTGGAGGTGAAGATGAGACAAGAGAAGGAGAGAGCCAAGGAGAGACTGATGAGGAAGCAGAAGCAAAGGCAGTTGGCGAGGTCTCAGCTGGGTGAGTTAGGCACATTTAAAAGTGATTAACAATGTCAGCGTAATTTTGTTTTATCTATTTAATAAACAATATTTAATTTAGCCATTATGTATTGTTTTCTGTTTTGATGTTTAGACACAATTCAACCAGAAAGATGTTGTTTGTCATGTTTCAAAGAGCTTTGTAAAACTTCTTTTATACAGAGAAACTCAACCCTCTTCCAGATCTGAGAATAGTGCTTGTTGGTGTCAGAAAAACTGGCAAGAGCTCATGTGGAAACACCATCCTAGGCAGGGAGTGTTTCCACACAGAAACCCAAACCACTTCCTGCTCTGAACAAACTGCCACAATCAGTGGAAAGACGGTGGTAGTGCTGGACACACCAGGCTGCTTCACTGTGACCTCTGACCTCCTCTTGGCATCCCCTGCTCTGCTCCTGGTTGTCAACGTGAGCTCCTCATTCAAAGATACCCAAAGGGAGGCAATGGAGAAACAACTGGAGGCAGGAGGAGGCCAAATGTGGAGCAGAGCTGTGGTCCTGTTCAGCTACGGTGACTGGCTGGGTGACACCAGCATCGAGCAGCGCATTGAGAGCGAAGGAGAACCGCTGCAGGGGCTGGTTGAGAAGTGCGGGAACAGATATCATGTCATGGACAATAAACACTGGGGGGATGGAGCTCAGGTTAACGAGCTGATCGAGCTTATAGAGGAGATGCTGCCTAAAGAAAGGATGGCTGTTCTTCACAGAGGCGATCACATGTGGAAAAGTGTTTCTTCACCACAAGAGCACCAACCGGTTGCAGTAACGTTGTGTAAAAAAGATTTAAAGGTGGTCACAAGCTGCAAACATCAGCGGTCCCATGACTGTAAGTAAACCTCCTGCGTTGATGTGTTTTCCCAACATGTTTTGTCACTTTAGGTTCAGACAACGTATTCTGGACTGAAGTTTGTAATGACACGGTTCTTTTAAAGCAGTGGTTCCCAACCTGGGCGTAGAGAACCCCCAAGAGGTTGTAAGAACGGGGGTTTTGAGATAAATAACAGAATAGAAAATTCTAAATATATATTTTTTTATTTTATTTCACTAATCTTAGCTTTTATTATATCATCATTTAACATATCATATCATTTAACATCCATTAGTTCCCTCAAATGCCTATTTAAAGAGTTTTGACAGAAAAATGAATTGAGACAAAATATTTTACAGTAAAACAATAAATTATGGTATTTAATATTTAAAAATGACAGTAACAGCAAATGTGACAAATGTGTAAATAAAAATTAATATGACTGGATAAATAATAATTATAAATAAAATACAACAAATGTAACAAATATATTTTAAAACTTTAGGAAACATTTTCAAAATGTAGACCATTAGAGATCATAAATACTTAAAAATGCTGTCTATTAGCACATCTGCCAACATGTGCACTAATATATCCATGCCAATATCAGCAGATTATATTTGTTTATTTATTTATTAGTCATTTGATAGTGCATTATTAAACAGTGTTTTAAATGTGCCAAAGTGTAAAATATAGCCCCTGAGCAGATATTACATTGTCAGAAAGTCATAAATAATATGAAATTAAATCGGTTATTGAAATAGAATCAATTAAAGAATATGAACTAAACAGCATTATGCTATGTTAAACAGAGTAAGCAACACATACAGTAAATCTAAAAGTCATATCAGGTGTAAAATGGGGAGTGATCAAATCAATCACTGGTTTATGATGTAAACAGTGAGGTAGCAGTTTCTGCAGAGGAGAGATAAGAAGATTTATATCTTGGGATGGGTGGAGATGTTAGGAATTTTTATGGCTCAGATTAAGTCTTATTTCCTTTACAGTGAATGAATCAGCCAGTTCCACTACTCAAACCTCAGAAAATTGCTCGGATGGCCAAGATAATGGTGGTCAGATGGTGGCACTTCCAGCAGAAAGAACGGGAAGCTGGACAGGACTCGCCATCCTTGACAGAGACAGCTTCATGTCCTGTTTAGCCTCTATGCTCTCTGGTAAAGAAGGACTGAGGTGGACTAAATATCTGCCTGCCTGGTTCCCTACGGATGATCTTCACCTGAGACTGAATGGTGAAAGCCAGGGGCATCTGTCCTCGACAAGACATCCAACAATGCTTCTGGTTTTTCCTCAAACACAACACAGGATGATTGCAGAGCAAAATCATCATACTCACATGAAGCTTGCTGAGTCTGGATGTCTGCAGTCGCTGATTGACCAAAGGGACAAGAGCAACCTGGAGGAGCTGGAAGCCTTCATTGACACTTACTTTGAGATGGTTTGGGAGCAAACCATTGGGTCATTTCAGCCAGCTGAACCCAACTCTCCCACTGCAGAGCAGGCTGCTGTCGTAGAGGAGACTGGAGAGGAGGAAGTGCTCTCATCCATCGACAGGAAACTTTCAAAGCTGGAACTCCTTGAGGAGATCAGGAGGGATCTAGTCGAACTGAGGAAGAGTCTGGAGCACAGCTGGAAGGCCACAAAGGAAGAAAAAAGTAAACAAGATGATAATAATACATGTTGAAACAGGGTAATCAAAGATGGAGTAAACTGTCATCTCTATCGGTCAAAAGTAATTTATATGTAATTTTTCTGACTAGTTAATTTCAAGAAGTAAAAAATTGTCAAAACCTCACTTTCTTTGGCTGAAGGGATTACCATTTTGTTGTGATATTTCCCCACAAAGGGGCGCTCTTGTATAAGATTAGGAAATGCAGATTCTGCCACTGAAATACTTCTGCAGCGATGGAAGAAGCTCTCATATCTTTTACTTAAGTAAAAGTAGCAATACCAAAGTGGAGAAATACAAGTAAAAGTCCTGCATGCAAACTTTTACTTAAGTAAAAGTACATAAGTATTAGCATCAACATGTACTTAACATAACAAAAGAAAATGTATTCATTATGCAGAATAGCCCATTTAAGAATAATATTTATTATTGGATTATAATTACTTATGCATTAATGTGTTTATCACTTTATGTTACAGCTGGTAAAGGTGGAGCTAATTGTAATTACTTCATATACTTATGAGTGGCTTGTATATGTCCTTCCCAAGATCAATTAAGTATTTTCTTAATACTTTATAATTTATTTGATAATATGATTAAATTATGTATTAATAATCTCAATCCATAAAGTAACTAACTCAAATAAATGCAGTGTAGTGAAAAGTATAGACTATATTTGCCTCTGAATTGCAGTGGAGTAGAAGAATAAAGTATCAGAAAATACTACAGTGAAGTACCTCAAATTATACTTAACTGTTTTTGAGTAAATGTAATTGGTTATTTCCCACTACTGCACAATGACTTTTTAGTTTTTCTTAGAAATCTTGAAACTGATTATATAAAATGGGTTTTTACGCTGCATCACCATTTACCACAAATTTAATCTGACTTTGCAATTAAAGTAAAGTTGAACTTGATGGTGGTCATGTTTTGGAAATTATATGGAACAATGTCTCTAATATATTGGCCTCCTCATTTGCATATGTCGAGAAGCAAAAATATTAGATACACATGTCAAAATAATGCTATTCAACAGATCAACTCCACAACTGATTGTTAAACATACCATACCACAGACATGGGCATTAATCTGCTGCTGTAACAGCCCTCTCTCTTCTGGTTTTAGGGATTTGTTGCTTCAAAATCATAAGGGGGGGCATACCTGGCTCACAGTGGGTGTTCCCGTTCTTCCCAAAGGTGTTGGGGTTGAGGTCAGGGCTCTGTGCAGTCAAGTTGTTGTCAAGACATTTCTTTATGGACCTCCCTGCGTGGGAGGAATTGTCATGTGAAGTCAAACTACAAATTTGCCTCAAAGGTTTTAAAATCTGTACAGCACATTTGGTCTTATACCCCTGAATTCACTTCCTAAAAACATAAAAAAAACCTCATGAAGAGTAACAGAGGAGGGATCAGTTTTAAAATTACAAAATGGAGAAATGACAACATTAAGCACAGCGATTGTAAACATATGGACAGTGAGCAAGTTCCAGGTGCTGCCAAAGCAGGTAGGACTTGAGACACATTGTGATGGAAAGTCTTGTGAGCTGGTCAACTCTAGTGATGAGCAAAGTTTCTGGAAACTCAGGCTATCTTAAGAAGTATTTATTGAAGCTCTCTCGAGGAGAATGGCACATTGACACAGTGTATTGCCAAAACTAAATCAGAAGGCTTCTTCCTGATTGGGGATATTTGTCCTTACTAGACCTACTGAGATTCAGATAAGTTTATTCTTCAACCCTCTATACATCTGTGAAATTCTATTGGATATTAGTTCAAAACAAGACACTTACCGGTAGCTTACCTAAGTTAACCTAAGTTATGTTGTGTGTCACTTTTGCAAATAACCTTAACGTGACGTGGGGAAACCCTGTTTGATGTTACCCTCAAAGAAGGAAAATTCTTTCACACACAGGAGCTCCTCTCTACCATGAATACGTTGTAAGAGTACAGATTACACTCACACACAAGAAGCGAAAAGAATGAGAGAAAAGAATTAGAGGGGCTAAAGGTTAGAGATGAATCAATTAAAGACCATACATCAAGGTGTGGTTTCCTAAGTAGAGGTTTAACCACAGCACTCTTAAAACTTCTGGTATATGATACATTAATAGCTTTTGGCATTGTAGGTTCCAGAGATGGCGTTTAAAAAGTTGGGCTGGTAAGGAGTTGAGGAGGAGTCTAGACAATGTTTCAAGTGAGATAGTCTTTGGTAAGTTACTCACCTTTCCTATCAAATGGAATCATTTAAACCTTTAAATCCTTTAAAGGTTGAAATGAACTGTGTTCGTCTGTGCAGGGGAGTCCACATGAGTGCTTCTTCCAGTTTACAGTCAACCACTTTGACAGTGGTTACAAACAGGAGGTCGCTCCAGCCTACCATTTTCTTTGTTAAGGAAACAGAGAATCAGTGCGGCTTCCATTCAAAGAATTGATTTATTTATTTTTTTTAATTAAAGGGCTTTTAAATAAGTGACACACAGAGACACATACAGAGGCTAAAATCACTCTGGCAGAGTAAAGTCCAGTCTCAAGGCAGTTTTTAAAATCAAAATGTATGGTAACGCAGGGCGGCAGGAGACTGTTTTATGACGTAGGTTAAGTTGTTTGATCTAGTTTCCTGGTCTGGACGTGTGTATAAATATGAAACAGACATGAAATATCTGAAATCTTAAAGGAACACTTTCTACTTTCAGTTGTATCTCTGCTGTTCATTTCTCCCAGGCAACATCATTGTGTTTCCATCCTTTTTTTAAAGTTACATTAGGCAACTTTGCACATTGGTGGCTCCACCTGGCAGTGAGAGATAACTTCTTGAAAAATGTAAACCGCAATAACCAGATATCATATCGGGTGATGTCACACACAATCTGCCTGCACTAAGATGCTTCATATATTTGCTTCACTGTTGTTTAGATTTTGCAGTGTGAGTTTTGCTTATCTGCCCCCTTTAATCAGAGGGGTATGCAAGAAAAGACAAACATGATGAAATATAAGGAATCATAAAAAAGAAATTCGTGGTCTTGACTTTTAAAGTAACAAGACTAAGGCCCTGATCATACGGTCACGCAATTCTTTTTTTAAAGCCTACAATAAAAAAAGAGCAGCTTTCAATTCATCTGTCCTTAGCCTAACCGTGATTTTGCTGTGAAGTACACAAACAAGTATACAAATGACGTTGGGAGCTGTCCTGAAATGAACTTTTTTCAATTCGACGCTCCTGCAAAACCCCAAGTTGCTCCGAGTGTCTAAAACGAAGGTTACGATATGGTAACCCTAGTTCTATTAGCACTGGCTCCGCCCTCTACTGGACGCTAGGGGTACTACCTCTCCTCCTATCACACGCACGTACTCGCCCACTGAAATTTAGCATACTGTAAGTAGCCGACCAATTGGACGTCGCTACTGTACGTACCGTATAAATAGCGGTGTCCTCACCGCTCAGCATCCAACCAACCCTTCAGCAGACGGCGGTGGAGTGGCAGGGCTCCATCGTAGAGGGCTCCGCCTGTGCTAATAGAACTAGGGTTACCATATCGTAACCTTCGTTCTATATCACACAGGCTCCGCCCTCTACTGGACTCTATGGGTACAGTGGGTCCATCCTAAGTGATGGGGCAGAAAGGTCACTAGACCACTAGGGGTTTGGCATGACCAAGAGGGATCTGATCCAGCCAGATCCAACACCTGAACTGTCCTGACCCCTTACAGGGACATCACAGTCAGTGTGACACCAGTCTCCTTCATCACAGATCCTGAGTCGCACCTGCGAGCACAGATCCTGAGAAGGAGCCCAACACATCCAAGAGGTAAAAACGCACAAATGGACATGGTGAAGACCACGATGCCGTTGTGCAAATCTCCTCAATGCTCACCCCGTTGAAGAGGGCCGTTGACACAGCCACACTGTGGAGTGAGCCCGGACCACCGAGGGTCGGTCTTTCCCATGTAGCTGGGATGGACCGACAGGGCGCACAGCTCACTCACTCTCTTGGCAGAGGTGAGAGCCAGTAATAAGGTTGTCTTGAGAGATAGCATCTTCAAGGAGGACTGTTCCAGGGGCTCATAGGGGTTTGACCTCAGAGCCTCTAGTACCAGTGGCAGGTCCCACTGGGGTGTGGAGACACAAAGCACCGGTCATTGTCTCCTCACACCCTGCAGAAAACGCTTCACGAGGGGGTGGGTGAAGATAGGTCTGTCGCCAAACCCCTCATGACAAGATGAGATAGCTGCCGCATACACCTTAATGGTTGAGTGTGACAGTCCCTTCTCCATTAGGCCCTGTAAGAAGGAAAGGTTGGATCCCACTGAGCATGTTATGGGATCCATTTCCTTCTCAATACACCAGCGCTGAAAGCCCAGCCACTTAGCTTTGTAGCAGGAAGTGGTGGAGCCTGCCCTCACCGTCTGGACGGTATGTACCACCTCTGCGGACAGCCCAGCCTGTCTCACCTCTCCTTTTCAGGAGCCAAACCTGGAGAGGTTGGCCGAGCACCGGCAGCGTGCGTATGGCGCCTGACTCCTGTGAGACCCCCAGACCTGAGGCACAGGCCAGGGCTCCGTCACTGCCAGCTGCGTCACCTCTGCGTACCACCCCGCTGATCTGCGGCTGGGGGCTACCAGGATGACTGACAACTCTTCCTGTCTCACCCTCTCCAGCAGGTGGGCGGATGAGATGGGGTGGGGGGAAAGCATACAGCAGCCCTTTTGGCCAGCGGGCAGTGGGTGTTGTGCCGTCTGGCAAACAGGTCCACCTACGCCGTCACGAAGCGAGACCAGATCTGCTGTATTATATCGGGGTGCTCTCCCCAGGAGGCCACACACCACCCACTGCTCTCCCCAGGCAGTTCCCTCCCCATCCGGTCAGAGACGCATTCGTGAACACCGACACGTACGAGGATACGTGTCGGTGTATCTGGTCGAAAACCTGATAAAAAAGTCAGTGGATCGTCAAAGTGATTGATGGGGATGTGTGTACCAAATTTTAAGGCAATCTATTCAATAGTTATTGAAACATTTCACCCACGAATGTCAAAAAACACAAATGTCAACATGGTGGCGCAAGAGGAAAAGTCAAAGAATCATCAAATTAGGATTCAGCAGGATTCATGGCTAAAACTTGAGATTTTAAAACTCATGCAGACTTTTCTTACATGAATGCGATGCATATAGTCAACATTTTCCCTTTCATGTCAAAAAGTTTTTACTTACTATTTCAAATTGTTGAGTCAGTCCTGTAAGTTAAACATTATGTCATGTTTTGACTTAAAAATAATAATTTTGACGTACTTATATTTATTTTTATTTTTATTTTTTCTGGTGGGATTTACCTTCTACAGAGTTGTAATGGTGCCTGACATTCTGAGATTAAAAACCTTGTATTGCAGCTTCTGTTTAAGTGAAGTTTTCTTTTCCTGCCTCTTTTCATCCACAGTGTTGTTGACAGATAACCCTTCAGCCCCAAAGCTCCCAAAATGTTGTGATAACTGTGAGGATGCAGGACCGAAGGGCCTGAGACATTTTGAGGATGGACTTACAGGAAGCATAATAGCAAAGTAGTGATTTGTAGGCAATCACGGTCTATTTACCTCCATCAGTCTCCATCTCGGGGCTTTCTCTCTTTGAATTACACCTCTTTGAATTTCATTTCTCCTGCAGTTCTCTTTCCCTGCTGTCTTATCATCTATCTTCCTCTGTTGTCAACATGTCATTCCTCCGTTCGATTCTCCTCATTTTCTCTCAACCCATTCTCTCTTTTCTATCTCCCACCATGTCTTTTCTCTCTGCAGTTCTTTATCCCGCGGTCTCCCCTTCTTCTGTCAAATCAAGTCGTGAGTGCTCAGCCCCCCCCCTCTCATTAAAGGAGTTCTGCAGCCTGGGAGGAAGCACAAGAAAATGGATCTCCTCTCTCTTTCTCTGTTGTGAAGGCTGTTCGGGAGACAATTCTGAGCCCACATCCATCTCCATTAGCGGGACAGCGCAGCGACCGGCACGACCCCCTACCCACCGCCTTGTATCACGTTTCACTGCCTGCTATTTTTTCAGGTGAAAAAAAATAGATGGGCTGAGGCTGGGAACAAGGATGGAGAAGGAGGATGAGAGGGATGATTTAGATCTGGTGTAAAGAATCATCCACCCTCTACTACCCTCCATGCTCTGATACGATGATGTCCCTCAGGGGTGATGTCTGGGACATGGTAGTGTAGACCAGTGCACCTCAGCAGGAGGTGTGAACTTCTCTACCCTTTCCAGCCCATAAAGAAAGTCTGCATCATGACCTCACAGTGATACAGATTTCACAAGAGTTTTAAGCCTAAAACAGAGAGATAGAGTTCACTACAGAAACAGCTGTATCAGATGACCAGGCCAGGTCATGGTTGTGTGAAGCCAGTTATCTGGAAGTTTAGTCCCAATCACTGATGATGAAATTTAATTTCAAAGCTGGGATAAACAACAGAGAGAGGCTTTGGTGATGCCACAGGGAGTGTAGGCATGCAGGGCATTCAAGGGAGTTTTCTTCTTCTTTACAAGTTCAAGTCAAATCTCTAGCAATTTCAAACAAATCCTTTAGTCAACGCTCAAAAAACAGTTGAGGTGTTTCCAAGTTTAGGCCAAGTATCAAGTCAAGTCCTTTATCGCAAGTCCATGACTCTTCAAGTGTTTTTCTGCACAGCTGTAATTACGTGCTGTGAAAGTAGCCTAGGTTTAATGAATAGAAAGCTGGCCAAGGCAAGGTGTGCCTATCTTTCTTTATTTTTTATTCTTCAAGCATATTACCAAGTCTAAAACCTGACACTTGTATGTTTTTACTTTTAAGTCAAAAATCTCAAGTCTCAAGTTAGTCAAGTTTTAAGGCATAAATAGGCTATGCTTCAAACTAAGTGTAAGTATCGAGTAGAATCGAAACGTCTCTTGTCAAACCAGCACTTCAATTACTAGCCAGGCATACTTTTTATAATCAGATCACAGTTACTATTTTTATGGTTTTGCTTGCAGACAAACATGCAAACAGCGCTGAGTCCATGCCTGATTTTACTGCCGCTCCACTTTCGGCTGCGGTCTCAGGCATGTTTGTCACTGTTGCAGGTTTATCACCACAAGCTTGGCTTTTGTTGGTTTCATCTTCTGGTATCATTTAACACTTCTCTCACTGTGTTCCATCACATCAAACTTTTGTGGCGCAGCAGCGATCAGCTGATTTTATTCAGAGAGCCTCTGGCTGCAGCTGCTTCAGGTGTAGTTGGTTTAATCGGCTGGAAGTAAAGTCTCTCTTTTCCTTTGATGGTGAGTCTTTAGTGTAGCTAAGTGACTCCTTTATCGAGTCGTTTTTGGAGGAGGT